TAAGGGCCATTATCAAAAGTTACTAAGGCTTGGTCTATACCTAAAACATAGGTCAACATAGCTACATCGCTCAGGACTATGAAAAATTTCATGATCTGTTCAACATGGTTAGGATGACCTACTACCTCTTGAGAGGAAGATTTTCCTACAGCAATAGGAAAACCTCTTCTGTCACTAAAGTGAGTATCAACACTACAGCGGCATAATTGCAGCATTTACAGCTGTGCTGCCATTGCACTTGTAATGTAGACATATCCTGCGGCACTTAGGAACATAAGTCCCATTAACCCAAGGACACATAAAAGTCTGTGGCAGATCTTCAAATTGATCCAAGATCTCCTGCCACCCAGCCTTAGTCTCAAACCATCCTCTCCCTTCTATTCAGACTCCCATACTTGAGAGGAAATCTTGCATCATATAATAGGACTGTCTATGACATTTAATCATTTCTTATTTTCAATTAAACAGAGGTATCAGATGGTTCAAGGGACAGTAATGAATTACAGTCTTGCATCTCTGTGACAGATTTAAATATAGTGCAGGTTAGTAGTACATGATTAGATGGTTCTTAGGTAGTTACTATTGATCAAGATGAGGCATGGCTAAAAGCCACAGCCTAACAGAAAATGATGCATCCTGCCAAGTTTGGCACCCAAGGCCCCTAATTCCATCACCTAAAACCCAACTTTGGAGAAGGAGACACAGAAATCTGCATGTCCACTCCCTGCTCTGTATTTTTCCAGTGCCAAGTTGTGCTGGGTTCTGTTATTTTTGGGGACACTAATAGCGATTAAAGATGTTCTTTATTTGGGGAGTGGAATTTTGACTCCGGCACAAAAAACAGTAGGATTCAACTTTTACTCTTTACTTCTTCTAGTGGACAAGTGGTTAAGGAGTTGGAGCACTACAATCATGCATTATTACAACTACACACATATACACCTCCCCCCGTCTGTTGGATGTATATGCCTATTATCTCTGGTCTTACACTGTGGCTACATCTACACAGCAATGTAAGCCTAGTGTTAGTGGGACTTGAGTCAGCTGACCTGGGGCTTGAGCATCTACTTTGCATTTTAACCACAGATTAATAATTTTCTGACTCATGCTCCAACCTAGGGCTCTGGCATCCACACTGTAGTGTGCAATCCCAAGTCATAGTATCCAGAGCCCCCACTCCCCAGTATCGACACTCTAGCCCTAGGAACATGTGCATTGTAGGAAAACTCTACTGCCCATTCTGTTTCCTAACTGTAGTGGTGCTATTGATGGGACTCATGGCCACAAGGAGCACGAGTACACAAACCACATAATTAACTCCTTTGGTGGCTGTGTCAGTAGACCAACTGCAGTTTGAGAAGGCTTTATACTGAACTATCATCTAATCTGAGAATTGGGCTCTATAGCTCTAGGCTGAGTCATATTGGCATGAAAATCCCCACGTGCACCTGTTCTGAGTATAATTAGGACATCCGTCTCCAGGCCTGTCAACTATTAAACTTTGCAATTTTTAATTTTTAAAACTGGATGTTCAATGAAGGTGTTTTTATTTGTTCATTCATTCCTGTTTGTTTTGAAGTCTGACATAAAATGAAGGTATCAGAGGAAAAAGACACCCCTCTCCCCACCGAGCCTGGCTGCTGCTGCTGACTGCAGAACAGTTAAGTACATCCCCAGGGCTTGGGGTGTAGTGTTCTCCAGCACTCTGTGGGGATCCCTTATCCCTGCCCCCTCTGTACCCCAGGAGGTTGCAGGGAAGTTTTGGGGCTGTTTCCCACTCACCACCCTGACAGTGCATACAGCCTGGGTGTCCCTACACACACAGCCCCAGGGAGGGCAAGAGAAGCCCGGGAACAAGGGCCAACGAGCAGAACGGGGATCAAGTACTGCCCTGCAGGGAGGGGGAGCAGTAAACCTCCTGGCTCAGTGCAGCTCAGAGTGGGATGATCCCCAACATTCCAGTAGTTAAGAGCCACCTCCACTTTGTCAATTTTACTCCCTGCTTTGGGAAAGCTCCATGCTTCAGCGAGGAGCCGGAGCTGCAGGCAAGTTTTGGGGCTGGCATTCACTTATAGTCCTGAAAGTGCACACAACCTGGGCACCCCCTCCCCCGCCCCTACAGGCCCAGGGAAGGCTGGGGGAGCACTGGAGCAAGGGCCAGAGAGTAGAGCAGGGACCAACCACTGCCCTGCAAGGGAGGGAAAACAGTAGAGCTCCCGGCTCAGCCTGGCCCAGGAAGGGATGAGCCTAGGGTTACCATACTTAACAAATAAAAAAAAAAGAGGACCCTCCACAGGGTCCTGGCCCCGCCCATTTCCCACCCCCAACCCAACCCTGTCCCTTCCCCGCCCTAACTCCGCCCCCTCCTCCCTCCCACTCCCAGCCACGCGGAAAGGGCTGCCCGAGTGCTACCGGCTTCACGGTTTGCCGGGCAGCCCCCAGACCCTGCGCCCCC